CTAATCAGATTCTATCTATCATAGGTTAAAGCAGAAATCAAGAGAATTTGATCAAGATTCAATTGACTCAATAAATCATGCCTCAATCGATTATAATCAAACAATATAGCATCCAAAACTTCATACAAGAAAGATCCTAACACATGGAACTAGGGTTCCTACAAACCTAAGTGAAGGGAAGTTACTCCATTGAGAAGAGAGAGACTGCAGAAATCTGATCTAGATCTTCAATCTCCATCTCCAAGCTTGATTCTCGAGCTCCAATGGCGAAGAAATCCTCCAAAATAGCTCCAAAAATGTTCCCAAGTCGCTCTCTCTCTCTAGGGTTCGTCCCTTGGGTGTTTGGGAACCAAAACCCAGCTCTCCCTTTCCTTTGGCTCGAATCTGCCTCAAAAACCCAATTCTGGGCGAATTACGGGCTGAATTACGGTCGTAATTCTTCCATGCCCGTATTTTGCCCAAAACACGCGTTTTGGTTAAGTTTCAGCGCACCCAAAGCTCCTCTCGGCAGTGAAAATACGGGCATGGGAGGCCAAATTACGGTCGTAATTCTCCTGCCCGTAATTCTTCCTCCTCTCCTGTTCAAAGCTTCGTTTCTCCCTCGTTCGGACTCCGAATCAGTCGCCGTTTGAACCCAGACGCTTGTAGTCTCGTCCTCTTTCTTTTCATAACAAACTTCCATGATAATTTGTCCATAATATGAGGTAGAAATCCATTATTCCTCAGGTCATGCTAGAGTTTCTTCTCCCGAATCGCCAATTGATCTCTGATTGACTTGAAACTTGCGCCTATGCTTCACTTTATGTGCTAGGACCTGAAATGTGACAAAGGAACACAACCTAGCATAAAATAGGCCAAAGACGCGATAATTCAAGCTCAAACAATCAAGAAACAAAGGGGAAAACATGTGCAAATATCGAGTCATCATATACAAAGCAAAACATTAAAGCATACAAACTATAAATACAAAGTATATAAATGGTTCGAGCTACACTACACGCTTCCCAACAATAGACCAAGTGCAACCTATAATCGGGTTATATGACAAGTATTTCGAATATCAACCCGAGGCACTACCAACCTTACTTCAATTGTTCAAATGTTATCTAGCAAATGTAAGGTTGTTAAAGCTAAAGGAACTACCAACTTAAACAAGCAAGCAAAGTAATTGTGGTGAATTCAATTAGAGAAAGCTCCACCCGGATATTGATCACCCTAGTCACATGCCAAGATGCAACAAACGAAACTCTATTGTGCTGAATGTGATCACCTATCTTGAGGAGGTCGCAATTAGCTAGGAGATCCTGACTCTCTTACTCGAACGATTATGATAACACTATAAGCTAGGAAACCTAACTCTCACAATCGATCAACTAAGGATTGCAAGAACTAATCCCTCGGAAGTTAATCCGGAATGGCGAATAGCAACCAATCAAGACAATATCATGGTACTAATTTAATGATAGAGGATTGATCTGAATCGCTCTGGAAAGGGTTACCCGAATTTCCAAAATTGGGCAATAAGGGGATTTCCTCATTCTGGATCAATTTGCCCAAACCTTGAGATGTGATAAACAACACACAGATTCGTTAAATAATATCTCAATAATTATATTAATCACAAACCCATCACACATATATCAATTCCTACAATCTAACACATTCCTAAACTAGAGTTCACAATATTTAAGTGAAATTGGAGACTACTCCATACCTAGGAAGAGTAATATATATACAACAAAGGTAGAAGAAAAACCCATGGAAATATGATCTTCCTTCTTCTTGTTGCTTGAATCACCCTTTAGAGAGGAGATCCTCTACCCTTTAGCCTTGAATAAGCTTCCTTCTTCTTTAATCATCCACTTTCTCTCTCTACCTTGAAGAAGAAGCTCCAATATAATCTCTCTCTTAAAGTCCTCTCCCTTTGTTTCAGCTTTCTCCCCTTTATATAGTTCTCGCGGGCTCATATCACGATCCAACATCACGCTCGTGATGTCGCAAGAGAAATCGTGATGTCGGCCGAAGCGCGTCATTTCACTTAACAACATGACGGGGTGGCTGAAATCTTCACGACTTGGGGACCGTGATAATGGACTTGCCCGCGAGGTTTCTGAACTATCTGGAAGCTGACATCTTCATGGTCTGGGCATAATCTTCACGGTCGGTAGCCCTTGACAATTGACCAAAAACTGTGATCTCTGTCATTTTGAAACATTTTGCTCCATTTTCGCCCTCTTTCGTCCTACTTTCGATCCCGGTGCCATAATTACCTACTAAGGTCTGAAACATAACAAAATAAGAACAAATGTGACAAAATAACGGGATATAAATGTGTATAATCTAACCCGAGTCACCCCCTCCCAACAATTGGATGTTTGCTTGTCCCCAAGCAAACAAATCACACACAAGGTAATATTTCAACCTATATCTCAACAACTTGGGACACGTCATTGGGCACAAAGCAAATGAATCTCAATGTCTATTTGGTAGCGATATATGGACAGCAGCTAGGGGTGGAAATCGGTACGGTATAGGTATCCCAATACCAAATACTGAAATCCTGAATACGGAATTACACCCTAAAATCAATCCCAATCCCAATCCCTAAATAATCTTGGTATCCTAATCCCAATCCCTAAATATTTTTGGTGATCTTTAATTTGACGAATTTGAGGTTGAGAGACGACTAATATTAGTGTGAAATAGTGATGTAATGATATATGTATAATTAAATGACACTTTTAGTGGTTGAGCATAGCATAGTAGTGAATGAGAGAGTCTAGTTGAGAGGATAAAATACACACTAGCTTATATTTTAGTATTGATCGGTATTTCGGTATATACCAATCCCAATCCCAATCCCATAATCCCTAATGCCGAATAACATTTGAAATTCAATCCCAATCTCAATCCCAAAAAATAATATGTGTATTCGGTAATACCAAATATAGACAAATTCGGTACGGTATTCGGTATATCCCAAATACCGGTACCAAACTTCCAGCCCTAACAGCAGCAACACAATCCTGACAACCACCACAAATGACATTCAAATGTAGTAAATCGTCTAAAGGAAGAGTTCTCACCTTGTTCACACCCCAATATATAACTTGTTCCGTCGACTCGCCAATCACAATTTTCCATGCATAAAGATCAAGGCATCAGAATGAACGACCGAGCAATCTATATAGGTCAATCTCGGCTAGTGGGATCATAACCATTTTGATGAAAAATATGTGTATATACTCGTACACTTCAACCAGTCTCTTCACCATGACGGTAGCCTCTAAATGCTAGAGTTAACAAGGATGAGTGTGATGTCACCACTATCTTGTCCAGAGGTATTAGACTCGGGTTCAAATGACTGGCTAGGATCTAGGACATGGGAAAAAGGCTTTTCTGGGTGGTGGCACAAGAAGCATGAGGTTCCGCAATTTTACCTAGAACCTATTCACAACAATCAAAGACGACTTGCAACAACCACAAACCACTTTTTCCATAATTTCAAACCACAACCAATCATGAAAACTATCCAAGTACACTTTATTTGCTACAACTTTTATCGAACCTATATAAGCACAAGAATGAAGGAGGTAAATAATCATGTTTGTGATCCTAAGATTGACTGCTAAGAATCACAATTTTTGAGCATGAGCGAATTTGTGACCACTCTCTTCTTGTCTCTTTTTCCTCTTTATTACTTTCTTCTTTTACTTCCTTTTCCTTTTGTTCTTTCTCTTTTTTTTTCTTGAGAGGAAAAAGAGAGTTAACGAAAGAATGCCACATTCTTTAATGTTTATAACCACATGCTCTCTTTTAAGAATTTCCTTCAGCACTCGTTTTCACATTTAGCAGAACCATGACTATGACTAAGTATTATTTATTACTTGGGTGGGGCATCCTTATCTGTTGGATTAATTTGGTTATTGGGATTTGCACATTCTTATTATGAGAAATGTTTTATTCGTTTTATTTTTTTTCAATTCAGCTCAGTGGCGGAGCCAGGATTTGAAACTACCCCTGTCCTCTTTTCATAATATAAATATTTAATTAATAATTATTTAATAAATAAAATTAAAACTAATTATATCCAAATAATTCATTCACATATAAAAAATAATCAACTAATAAAATCACTGTTTTCATAAGCAACCACGACGGAATTTCATATTGTGGAAAAAACACAACATTTGTTGTCTACAATGTTAAGTAAGTCTCTTTTAATGTATCGCACTAAACAATCATTAGCAAATTGGTCGCCAATTCGACTTCAAAACTTGTTCTTAATATAACTCAAAGCTGAAAATGTTCTTTCTGCACTTGCAGTTGCAAATTGGTAGAATCAAAACTAGTGGAATTGTCGTTGTTGCTGAAAAATTTCAAGATTGTTGGGGAAAACCGAATAGACATAAGGAGAAAAAAGATTTTATTAGGTCTTTATTGCAATTAAAAATTCATTTATAGTATAATAAATTAATTTTATATCAATTTATGAACAACTAATAAGTTGTATTGTACTGATAAAATACTATAATACCACTTTTAATTGTTTGTTCCATCATCAATATAAATATATATGGGTATTTTTTTCCACTCCAAAATTTGCCCCTGTCCCGTGGCAAGGGCTAATGCCCCTGCCTCCGCCTATGATTCAGCTTACCGATATGGTTAAGTGGGTATGGTGGCTGTAGGGTTAAGTTGCACCAACTTCATGGGCTTGTTGGGCCTAGTCAAGGCCTTAGTTTGTTATCCCTACAAATAGTAGAAGTTAAGTTAGGGATTCGACTCATGTCAAAAATGTATTAAAGGGCTGTCCGTATAGTGACAAGACTGTTCTATTATCGTCGGTCAGTGGTGGGTCAACGAACATTTTTTCTATTGTAATTTTGTAAATTCACCCGGTAAGGCTTTATTTTTGTATTTTATTTCTGCTATTTCCCTTTTTCTTAAAACTATCTTGGACAAAAAATCATGAAAGAAGAGAAAAATCTTTTGAAGCCCAGCCCAAATCTGACCAAACTGGAGGCGAAAAAGGTTGGGCCTGGTCTCATTGATCTGAAAACTGGTCTAGGCGCAGCCATATCTGAATCTTCCATCCTCATTGGCGGTTCGATCAGCAATTGCGATATTCGGTACATCTCTCTTTTCTATCTATCTATCTTTCTATCTCCTCCAGCTTGACCAAGGAGGATCGGTGACCGCAGAAGAAGCTTCAGCTGCTGAGGAAGATCGAAAATGGCAGCTACACTTTCAGGCGTCGGAATCGGATTACGGCCATCCACATCTTCTTCTACTCATAAACATTCCCAGCACGCGCAGAGAAGAAACTGGAGATCGTCCGTTAAAATGACGGTCTCCATCGAAGAGAAAAAGCAGAAGAAATTCTCCCTCCAGAAATCTGAAGAAGCCTTCAATGCTGCCAAGGTACCTGAAATCCCCCCTCCACCCGATTTTCCGTCATTTCCCAGTTTCACTTCTCAGAATTGTTAGTTATAAGTAAGAAAGATGGAAATTTATGGCCTCGGTTCTGGGTTTTGACTTTTCCATCATCGGCTGCCTGTAATCCCTCTTCAGATGCTTACTTTTTCTTTTCTGCTACTTCGCCTTTTGTTTGAATTGCTCAAAGTGTTGCCTTCGAAGCAGCTGTAAGGCTGGTATGCTTGAAGGGAAGCAATCCTGCCCTATAAAATTCCTGTAGTTCTGTTTGAAGACTCGCTTATCGTTCTGACTTTTTCTTTTTGGCTGCGTTTCTCTCTGGAATTGTTACTGCTGCGGTTGTTGACTCTGTGTATTAACTGTTTCAGGAGTTAATGCCAGGAGGTGTTAATTCACCAGTCCGTGCTTTCAGATCTGTTGGCGGGCAACCAATCGTGTTTGATTCTGTAAAGGGCTCTCACATGTGGGATATAGATGGAAATGAGTATATTGACTATGTTGGTTCTTGGGGGCCAGCCATTATCGGCCATGCCGATGATAAGGTCTCATTCTTCTCTCTTTTACACTTCCTCAAGTTCAAGAATGTGCAGTCTATTTTTCCACGTTGCTATCATGTTTCGTTATTACTTGTTCCACTTCCTCGCAAGAGCGGTATTTGGCGGTTTGGGTATTACCTCCCTTTTGTGTGAAACTAAAAGGGACGAAAATTGGATCGCGTGGATTTTCCACTTGTCCACAACACATTTAGTTTCTCTAGCTCATTGCAACCAAATTGTATCCCCACTGGCCCTTTTGTGGTCGTGCTCTAAGTGTTCAGATTGCATGGACTGATAAGCTTCTTGTAGGTGATTGCAGCGCTGACTGAAACCATGAAGAAAGGGACAAGCTTTGGCGCCCCTTGCCTCCTAGAGAATGTTCTAGCAGAGATGGTGATCAAAGCAGTGCCTAGCATTGAAATGGTGCGATTTGTCAACTCGGGCACTGAAGCATGCATGGGTGCTCTTCGCCTTGCTCGTGCCTTCACTGGCCGAGAGAAGATCATCAAGTTTGATGGCTGTTATCATGGGCATGCTGATCCATTTCTTGTGAAGGCGGGAAGTGGTGTTGCAACCCTAGGGCTGCCAGACTCCCCTGGGGTCCCCAAGGCGGCCACATATGAAACCCTGGTTGCGCCCTTCAACGACCTTGCAGCAGTGGAAAAACTCTTTGAGGCCAACAAAGGAGAGATTGCTGCCCTTATTCTGGAACCTGTTGTTGGAAACTCGGGTTTCATTCCTCCTAAACCTGACTTCCTCAATGCCATCCGCAAGATTACCAGAGAGAATGGTGCCCTTCTCATGTTTGATGAAGTCATGACTGGATTCCGCTTGTCATATGGTGGGGCACAGGAGTATTTCGGGATTACTCCTGATATAACGACGCTTGGGAAGATTATTGGCGGCGGGTTGCCTGTTGGTGCATATGGAGGAAGAAGGGAAATCATGGAGATGGTTGCACCAGCAGGGCCAATGTACCAAGCTGGGACCTTGAGTGGTAACCCATTGGCAATGACCGCAGGTTTGCACACTCTAAAGCGGTTGCAGGAACCAGGAAGCTATGAGTACTTGGACAAGATCACGGGTGAACTCGTTCAAGGCATTCTTGAAGCTGGCAAGAAGGCTGGGCATGCAATGTGTGGTGGCCACATAAGGGGAATGTTTGGTTTCTTCTTCACAGAAGGACCAGTTTACAACTTCGATGATGCAAAGAAAAGTGATGCTTCAAAGTTTGCCAGGTTCTATCAAGGGATGTTAGCTGAAGGGGTGTACTTTGCACCTTCACAATTCGAGGCTGGGTTTACTAGCCTGGCACATACTGGTGAAGATATCCAACGTACCATAGAGGCTGCTGAGAAAGTTTTGAAACAGATTTAAGTTTATGAGAGTCCCCTTACCCTCCCTGGTCTTTTGTATCTCAGAGAAGTTTGATTTAGGCTGTCTGTGTTTTGGCTTATTTTTCACTTGTACCACTCATTCCTTGTTGGAGATGGAAGAACCGAATGCATTAGCCTCTTGTAACTGAGTTCTAGCGATCTTGTCTCTTTTTCCCTTGTAAAATATGGAATTCAGTTAAGGAATCTTTATTCTAGCACTCTCAGTTGTCCATATTTGTGTGATGGAGCAAGATGACCATTTTTCTTCATTTGCATGGGATTTGCATTCTTTATATTCATCTTAAACTGTTAGATGGCAAGTACAAACAATTTGATAATGGTTTGATTATAATCATTTCTCAGTTTGGAAGTTCCAATCTGATTAACCTCGAATAGGAAAATGAAGCTAAATGGAGATGATCTCCCATAACAAGGGTGGGTAGCAATAAGCTATCTTAGCAGTTAAATCCACCTCGTTGATTGCATTCAATACAGAGCAGAGCAGATTGCATAGTGGGTTAGAGGGTCTCATCAATTTCAGTATTTGGAATTTCTGTCGCCAAAGAAGAACATTCTTTCACAGCTATATTTAGAGGTTTTTCATTGACACCTTTCCTTTCCCTACACAAGGCCATGGATGACATTCGCATTAACTTCCTCTGGTGGAATAAACTCAACAGCTCTCATCTGTAACTTTAAAACTACTGGTTCTTGTATAAAAATGCAACTCCTGGAACCCTTTATTTTTTTGTCCACAACCCTCATGGCTGTTCATAAGACAACTCTCTGCCTCATCCTACTAGCTGCTTGCCTGGCAGCAGCTACCGGCGGCAAGCTTTCACCAGAGTACTACTCGAGCACCTGCCCTGGGGCACCGGCCATAGTCCAAGCTGGTGTCGTGGCAGCTTTGAAGAACGAAACCCGGATGGGAGCATCTCTCCTTCGTCTGCATTTCCATGACTGCTTTGTCAACGTGGGCACAAATGCATATACTTTTATCACCTTGATTTCCTATCTATGCATTTCCTTCAAGCTGGAATGTTGTTTCTGGCAGGGTTGTGATGCATCGATTCTGCTGGACGATAACGCCACGTTCGTTGGTGAGAAAACTGCATCTCCTAATAACAAGTCTATAAGAGGGTATGAAGTGATTGACAAGATCAAGGGCCAAGTCGAGAAAGAGTGCCCTGGGGTTGTGTCATGCGCTGATATACTTGCCTTGGCAGCCAGAGACTCTGTTGTCTACGTAGAATGCTTCCTTCCTCTCTCATTATTATAGTTACTATCATCATTATTTGCTTCTCGAGTGCAGAAAATCCTGAATCCTGATGGGTTTCGAATAATCGGACAGACTGCTGTGCTGTATGTTGTTTTGCAGCTGGGAGGACCGTCATGGGAAGTTAGCTTGGGAAGAAGGGATTCCCTCAATGCAAGCAAAGAAGCTGCCGAAGTATCCCTTCCTGAACCAACCTTCAATCTAAGTGATCTAGCCGTTAACTTTTGGGCACAGGGTGTTTCTTTCAGGGACATGGTTGCTCTTTCAGGTAATCAATCCTGTATTCAAATCAATGATGGGACTGATTCTATGTATTAGATTGTACCTTTGATTTGTGCAGCAAACCTGCTCACTCACTGTCCTGTAGGTGCACACACAATAGGAATGGCGAGATGCACAACGTTTCGAGACCACATCTACAACGACTCCGACATCGAACCTTCCTTCGCAAGGTCGCTGCAGCAGTTTTGTCCTCCCAGGGGACACGACGATGTGCTTGCTCCTCTCGATCTCCGAACTCCGGCCCAATTTGACAATTCCTACTACGTCAACTTGGTGAACTACAAGGGCCTCCTTCACTCGGATCAGGAGCTCTTCCATGGCGATTCAGCGGATCGTTCACTAGCGAGAACCTTGTACGAAAGCGATCGACCTTCAGGAGGGTTCTTGAATGGTGATGATGACTTGGAAGAAATGGGTGGTGGCACAATCAAGCCCTTCATGGATAACCCTGCAGCAGCCATTGTAAGAAACTACGCGGACGAGCCTGCGGTGTTCTTGGATGATTTCGCTAAGGGTATGATCAAAATGGGCGAGATCAAGCCCCTCACTGGAAGCGCAGGAGAGATCAGGAAATTTTGTGGTAAAGTCAATTGAGGAAAACATGGTTTGTGCTCTTTTTTAGTGGTGAAGAACGCAAAAGAATAAGAGGTCCCTTGAAAATAATCATCAGATATGGTAGCTGGGTTGCCGATAATAATGATAAACTTTCATGAACTATGCTATCAGCGATGTGATAGGTGTCACTTATGGCGTACAATTTATAACATGTTTGGAATCAGTGTTTTTTTTTTTAATCTAATATGCTTTTTTATAACTAGTGCAATGCTTGGTTTGTTGGACCAAAGAATTTCATACTTATAAGTTATAACTTATGTATGTGTGGACCCAAATTTAAGTATATGCATGGTATAAGTAGCTTACTTTTCTTCTTATTTTTTCGTTTGGAATGGTTTTGTTTGAAAAGTTGGTCATGAAAATTTAGGACAACACTAAAAATAGAAGGGTAAATACTAATTATTAGTCAAAAGTTTCCCACATTTTAAAATATCAGCCAAATATTTTGATATATAATTAATTTATTTGGAATGTTGTATTTTCCTTTTTTTAATTTATTTGGAATAAATTATAATTAAAATTAATTCTAAAAATTAATTGGAATAAAATTGGTCGAACCAACTTCCTATACTACCAGTCGGACATAAACTCAAATTTTGAGGTGTTATACCAGACTTGTTTGCTTTTCACACCCAACAAACAACTTTGGTGAGGTACCAGGGCGGCTCCAGCACTGTAGATGTCATGGATTGCTAGATGGCTACGGGGGATGAGGCATTGAGGCAGTTGAGGGAGAATTTGGCAGCCTCGAACAACCAGATGAAGCAGTTGGCCGATTTTGGGAGCCGGGAATAAAAGTTTGCAGTTGGTGACTGGGTGCTACTATGGCTACATCCATACCGACATACCTTAGTATTCAGGAGAACTTATCATAAGCAGGCATCTCGCTACTTTGGACCTTACCAGGTGTTAGAACGAGTTGGCCAGGTGACGTACAGGTTGCAACTACCGACGACAGCTCGCATTCACCCGAGTGTGACACTAAGCCCCAAATGCGTCACCGAGTCAATTGGTTGGTGAGAATGGAGGATTTGAGTTGAGTTGGTGGAGGTACTAGAGAATAGGTGGGTTCAACGAGGTGGGAAGCTGCCAGAGGAAAGTTTGATTCGTTAGGAGCATGTGGAGGTCGACGATGCCACGTGGAAGGACACAGAGATCATTTGACAAAACTATCGCGCATTCGACCTTGAGAACAAGGTCAGTCTTTGGCAAGAAAATATTGTTAGAAACCCGCTAGTTGATGGGTCAGGTTAGAGGAGGGCTCGACCCTACTTAATATTTTTGGGTACTCTATGTTGTTTTGGGCACTATTTAAACTTTGGATGGTCTATTTGTCAGCAAAGAATGTTATTGATCCATAAATCTCTATCTCTCTTCTCTTCTCAATTTATCCGTAATTGCTTCCCAATTCTTCTAAGTTCTCAATCCCTTACCTTCAATTGTCTTGTCTATCTCTATCTCTATCAATTGCCCCAACTAAGCAGGTTTCTTACAGAAGCCAAGGAGAGGTCAGAACAAATTGCAGAGAAGTCAGGTGAGGACATGGATCAATGTTATTTAAAGCTGCTTTAACTGCTCTAGCTATAAATAAGACGTGAATAAGCAGCTTGCTGGTTCAGAAACTATCCGAATGAACGTTGATGGAAATAGAAAAAATAATGACTTAATAATCTATTTGTAAGACAACGATCGAGAGGATGAATGAAGTTCCAAAATTATGCTGAAGGCAAGTTAAAGTAGGTATTTCAGTTCTCAAGAGAACATGGAACTGTATTTTCCAAGTGCAGTAGTCTAAAATGTTGCTGGCCCACAAATGTACTGCGCCTCATTTTGGCTAACTAATTGGCCCACAAATCTCTAGTCTACTCAACTACTCAAGCCATTACATTCATCTCTGTGCATTGGACTATAACGTGTAGGTAGGGATTTGGGCCATCTACAGATCAGATGGTAACAAAACTGGAACTATATACACCACACGACATCATTACAGTATATTGACAAGAAATTAGATGGACGAAGTTACTCATATCTACTTGCATCCGCTCATTCCATCTCATCGGTTGAAGTCACCTCTTCCTCTAGCAGTTCAAAAGCATCAATTTCAGCAAAGTATGCTCTCTGTTGCTCAATGAAATTCTTATCTTCAATGTCATCACGAACATCTGTTGTGTGGCGCGTCTTCTACAATACGAAATGGACAATGAATTTGTATGTCAACATTGAGAAGTATGATAAGCAAAGCAGCCAAAAGATGTTTCAGACAAACTCAGCAAGAACAGCATAAAAGAAGAAAAAAAACAGCAAACCTAGGAAACCCCAATTTCAGCAACTAAAAACCGGATGGAAAAAGAGAACACATGCAAGAATCAAGAAGAAGGTACTTTCAGCAGAAAGAGAACACTAAAGCTCAAAGTAACACAGAACGAACCAAGCACTAAGAGGGTAAATGTAACTCAAACGATGAGTGCACGACAGTACACAAGCAAAGGTAACAGAATGGATGATGCAGAAGCTGTTCCCAAAACATTTTAAAGCCAGCCAACTCCATCAGTCCTCCACACGTTTGAATAAAAGGCCGATCAGAAAGCCAAAAGAATAAATCTAGTTTCCAAAATACAAGAACCAGAGTATCCTACCTTTTTATGAGGTACCAGCAATGATTTGGACTGACCAGCACCTCCATCTTCAATTGCTTTGTCCCTGCATTCAATCAATGAGACCAAGAATCAGCAGCAGCGAAAAAGGAATTCAAAAAACAAAGTATCCACTAAGAGCAGAATAACATTCACATCAAATACCAATTGAAATGATATCTAGTTTGCAGAGCTTACAATAAACAACAAAAGCTTCAGTAGTTCCCAGGAAACGCAACAAAGAAAAACGCTCATGCTTCAGAACATAGCAAATGCGATAAAACTGTTGCGCTTATTCTAATGGAAGGTGATACAGAACAATTCATAAGATCAAAAATACTGCTCCAACTACACTGCCCACTGTTCAACAGGGAATAGAAAACCTGATATAAATTTTCTAAACTCGTCTCCACATCTTTTCCGTTCCATTATGTCTACCTTCCAAGAGTATAGAGATTTGCCACTGCCATTTCAATTTTGCAGTTGGTTTTACCAATCTAATCAGTGTATTTGCACTTCTCTAATCACAGTCCGAAAACAGAAGTTATCCCTAAATCAGAAACATACCTGCTAGACTGACTCTTTATAGCCGGCACATCAATTGCCTTCTCCTTGTCCTTCCTTTTGCTTCCGGACTTCCTCCGAACATAAACCGGAGACGGCTCCCAAACATCATCGCCACCTGATACACTTTCAGGCATGAGGAACTAACCACGGAAAAATTAAATCCGACAAAACCCTAGGTTCCCAAAACCGATTTCAGAACAAGCAAATCGACGAAGGCGGAAGAGAAAACCCAAAATTACCGACGGTCGAGGATTGATTGCGCTGTGGGCGAGCAGGCGTGGAAGTGGAGGGTCCTAGAACCGCGCTGGTAGTGGATCCGGCCGTGGATGGAACCTTATCGAGATGGGTCTCAGTGGGATTCGGATTGTCGCGGGAATGGAGAAGCTGCGAAGAGGAGGGAAACGATTTCAAGGGTTTCTTGAGAAGGTAAGAGGAAGACGAAGTGGAAGAACAGCTTGCAGAGGAGCCGACGGGTACAAGGGTGTTGCTGCGATCAGAGAGCGGCTTCCTTCTTCTAGAGCTGCTCCTAATTGTATTTTTGCGTTGAGCTTCCATCAATGCCGAGAACAGGTACAATTTCAGCGGCGATTTTACAGTCGTCGAACTTGTGACATAGGAAATGGAGGAGCGGAGTGGAAGAGAAAAGGAGTGCGGAGGAAGCTTTTCTGTTCTGCTGCAATGGCGGGAAATATCAAAGCGGAGTCTAGAGAAGACGGGAGAGCTTTAATAAGAGGGGTCTGGATAGCATAACAACACCCTAAGTGTTGTTATAGTAACAACAAGGGTAAAAACGGAAACTCACAAAAAAATAACAAAATTAGAAATTAAATTATTAATTACCCCACCCTGTATTATTCTCTCTCCCTACTAATTCTTCTGATCAACTTCTCCCCTACCATATCCCGATCAATCCCCTGACGGGAGCTTCTCCTCCGCGCCGGGAATGCCGCTCTCTACTCCGTCAGATTCCCGGAGACATCAACAACAACCACAATCCCTCCAATAGCGCCTGGAATCACCGACGATTGGGCCGACGACAAGAATAGAGATTGAATCGCCGATGATTGGAATAGACGACGATGTGTAGCTGCCAGGAATCAACGACACCACTTCCATGGACGAGAAGAAGGTCACCTGTCCCTCCTCCTTCACGTGTTCACTCCCTCGTCAACCGCCGCACTTGGTTAAAATCCTTCCCGCCAGATCGTCGCCGAAGGACGACGAAAATCAGAAGCCGTCGCGCCAATCGTCCACTTAATTGGAGCGATCGATGTAATTCGTGAATCGATTGGTGGAGGAATCGAGTCTCAAATTGCCGGAGGACATCGTGGAAGGGATCGCCCGAGTGATTGCGGACAGGGTGCCTAGGGATTGGCGCTTCATCTTTCGGCCGGAGCTCTCGGTGGGGCCAAACGTCTATTGACCTCGCCGCAGGCTACCCTACGCTTCCTTTCTTTGCTGCAACGCTTCCCCTCTGCTGTGTGTATCAGAAGGAAGGGAAGGTGCAGCAGCTGGTGCTGGGTTGGTGTGGTTTTTTAGGTCAGATCTCTGATCAATTAGGAACAAGACAAAGCACTACTGGGGATGGTGGGGTTTTCTCTCGTTTCTCTTTTGCCCTCCCTTTCCTTTCATCTTTTCCACTCTCCCTTCCTCTGGATCTGACCGCATAAAGAGGAAACGAACAAAACCAAAACTGTAGCTAGCGATCCATTGATGGGCTCCAAGCTAAGCTTAGCTAGCTAGGGTTTCTTCGTTAGGGCATTGTATAACATCATCATATACTGGCAAAGCAAGATCGATCGATCAGGAGCAGGGAAGTAAATTTTGCTCTGTTTCTGTTTGGTCATTTTAGTTGGCGGTAAATTCCTTGTTTGGGAGATAAGGTTTTTATCGGATAAGGTTTTTATCGAGAAACTGTACGAGAGCGCTCGTAATTTGAATCGATCGTTCTTCAAGAACGCGGACAGCAAGGACTACGCTGCTGTGTCTCAATTCGCATGATTCCGTAGCTTAGAGAATATTGTTGCTGTTTGTATCTCGGTTGCTATCATGCTTCTGTAAATGGGCTTCAGAAATTAGTTGACTTGACCTTCTGGTACTCAATTTTAGGGTTTTTAAGCGCTAAAGGGATTGAAATGATTTTGTTTGGCAATGCACATTTACTTTAGATGTAGTAAGCCCTACGATTTTCGCTTATATATTGCTAGTATGGCTCATCTAAAAAACCAGTAATTGCTAGTATCACGGTAAAACAAACCATAAATATTTCTAAAGCACATCAGAAACCCACTAATACAAACGACAAACACGGTAAAGCAAACCAAACACATTCTAATGCAGACCACAAATATATTAAAACAAACCAGAAACCTCGCAAACCAAACCACAAAAGTTTCGAAAGCACACCAGAAACTTCTTAATGCATACCAGAAACCCCCTAATGCATACCACAAATTCTCTAAAACAAACCAGAAACACCACAAACCAAACCACAAATATTTTGAAAGCATACCAGAAACCTCCTAATGCAAACCACAAACACAGTAAATCAAACCACAAAAAAGCAAACCAGAAACCTCCTAATGCATACCACAAATCTCCTAAAACAAACCACAAACCTCACAAAGCAAACCACAACATTTTAAAAAACACACCAGAAACCTCATAATGCAAACCACAAACACGTTAAAACAAACCACAAAAACAAACCAGAAACCTCCTAATGCATACCACAAATCTCCTAAAACAAACCAGAAACCCCGCAAAGCAAACCACAAAATGTTTGAAAGCAAACCAGAAACTTCTCAATGCAAACCACAAACATGATAAAGCAAACCAGAAACTTCTCAATGCAAACCACAAATGCGATAAAGCAAACCACAAAAGGCATACAAAAATGTGAGAAACCAAACCATAAATCTCACAATGAAGCCCATAACATCCGGTGGTCGTTGACCGTTGACCGGTCAACGAAGTTCGTTGACCGAACTCCGATGACCGTCAGTGAGCAGATTCCGACGCCGATAGGCATATTCCGGCCCCGATGACTAGATTCCGACGCCGGTAAGCATATTCCGGCGACAGTGGCATATTCCGATGAGAAAATAGCATATTCCGGCGACGAAAAGCATATTCCGGTGATCGGCGACCAGATTCCGACGACCGGTGGCCGAATTCAGGCGACCAAAATTTTGGGGAGAAAATAAAAAAAAATTTTTATTTTTTTATTTTTTTATTTTTTCATAATGACAATTATACCCCTGCTTTGATTTTACACTAGATCAACTCAACTAATAAAAAGTCATCACAATCCTAGCTTCCTATTGGTTGGAGACTAGTGTTGTTACAATAACAACAAAATGAGTGTTGTTATAGTATCTAGTCCCTAATAAGAGTTAATTCCAAGGATGGTCACTGAGTTTACTAAAAGTCTAAAATCGTTCATGTTTGGTCACTGTAAATATTTAATTTCATTCATGATCACTAAGATTAGTTCAATAGTTCAAGTTTGGTCACTCTCCGTTAGTCTCCGTTAGTTTTTGCTGATGTGGCAGTCAACTATTATAGTTGACCGTTAAATGAGTGACGTGGCCATTAAAAAAATAATAATATTTAAATATTTACAATTTACACCTCATTTTATAACTATTAAAAAATAAAAATAATGAGTGACGTGGCCGGATCAGGGACTTGATGGGGCGGATGACATTGTAGGAAAAGATCGGCCAGATGGTTCAGATTGATCACAAAGTCGGTTCAGCTGACGTCGTGAAAAACTACTTCATCGGTAAGATGACGATAAAAAAAAAACAGATCGAGCCGCTTCTGCTCTGTTTTTTAGGGCAAATAAAAAAAAGACTGCAACTTTATGGGTTGGGGGACATGCAGGAAGTATATTGAGCGGAGGAGGAAGCGTCTCGGGCCAGAAAGCTTCGCCGGAGGAATGGATCAAGATGGTCAACGAGTACCAAAGGGGCTCCATGTCGACCAGGCTAGGGATTCCGTTGATTTACGGGATCGACGCCGTTCATGGTCACAACAATGTGTACAATGCCACCATTTTTTCTCACAACATCGGCCTCGGAGCTACCAGGTGAGTGATCAGTTTTCAATTTCATCACTCCCCCCCTTCATTTTATTATTTCTGGTCGCGCGTCTCAAGAGTGATGAGCTGGATGGATGATTGTGGTGGTTTCCAGATCTGGAAACGTGTTGATTAAAATTCCCTTTGCGTCTCGGTATCGTTTGACGAAATCCAAAAATTCGTCGCAGAGGAATGGGTTGAGAACAGGACGAGGAGGACTTTGTCCGGAATCGAGTTATTGAAGCCTTCGATTGACCAATTGGCTTCTGGGTTGTTGAAATCGGTGACGGGAGTGTTGTGGTTGTCCCGGAGATTATGGAGATGGAGGGTGAGATTGAGGCATCCGGCGCCAGAGGTGTAGAAGATGTAGCTCGGGAGTCCGAATTCGTCGGCGACGTCGATGAATGTGGTGCAGAACATGTCCACGAGGAGCCCGGAGACGAGAGAGGAGGCCTAGACGAGATTGGAGACGGCGTCGCGGACGTGGGATTTGTATGAGTCCATGATGAATTTGACGACGTCTTTGACAGTTGGGTCGACGGCGGCGTCGTTGGGTGGGAGGTCGACGAACTTGAACCGGTCAGAGAGCGCAGCGGCGGTAAGTTTTATTTTTATTTTTTAATAGTTGTAAAATGAGGTGTAAATTGTAAATATTAAATTTTATAATTTTATAATTTTTTTAATGGCCACGTCACTCATTTAACGGTCAACTATAATAGTTGACTGCCACATCAGCAAAAACTAACGGAGACTAACGGAGAGTGACCAAACTTGAACTATGAACTAATCTTAGTGACCATGAATGGAATTAAATATTTGCAGTGACCAAATATGAACGGTTTTAGTAAACCCAGTGACCATCCTTGCAATTAACCCGCTTTAATAATTAATATACGTCAACCCTATTGCCGTCTTCGTAATAGGGAGCGGATGCTATCATGCTAACACACTTTAAGGGTTAGCACCGTCCTAACATTTTAACAAGGGCATTATAGTAATACACTCTCATATTGTATCCTTAGGTGTAAGTTAGATCCTAAAAAGTAAAAACCCACTGACTCGTCTCGGCCCTTTAGGGACGGGACTGATAGGGTCAGGGACGGGTCATGACAATTTTCAGCTCTATCCTTCCTCATTCTTATTCAATCTAGGGGTGGGCAACGGGACGGGACGGACGGGATACTCGTTCCGTTTGAAACGGGTATCCATGTCTCAAACCCGTACGAGACGGATAACGGGTACCCATACTACCCGTAAATACCCGTCCAATCCGACCAACTTCCACCTTAGACATCTTTTTTTTTTTTTTGTAAGGGTGGACTTCTTTATTAGAACTGAAAAAACTTTGCAATTACAAGCTAGAACAGGAAAATAATTCCCAAGTTGCAGTCGCAACCTAACAAGCCATTACCAGCAAAATGTCTTGGCCAGAAGTTGCACAAGTTTAAATAAAGAAAAATAAATACACATTACCAAATAATACGTCTGCAGAATTAGGACACTTTTCATTTTGTTTCATCAGCAGGAGGCGAGTTGGGATGGAGTGGGTTTGGGTATTAGGATTTTGGACTAATGGATATAACGGGTACTCGTAATACTCAAAACGGGTATTAACGGGTAACCCGCGAGTACCCAAAGTAGTGAATCTTGATCCCAAATCTCATCCCGTAAAAAAGATTACGGGTACTTGGGTACCCATAACTCTCAAAAAAGGGATGCGTACGGGTATACCCAAATACTCATTTCCCGTTGTCCACCCCTAATTCAATCCTAGCGTTTCATCATGTGCAATTGTCTCCCGCTCCCGTCTAAAAGGCAAGAGCAGCCGCAACTAGCTCCGTCACCCCGTCATTACCAAACATCGCCAGCGTGGCTCACAGTTCCTACCTCCGTCATCCATCCGTAATTTTTCGAATGAGCTCTGCTGCCGTGACTTGGTACCCGAAAGCTGAAAGGTGGTTGGTGCCGGTGGACTGAGCAACGACGGAATTTCATATTAAAATAAAGAGAAATCCAAGCCTCAGCCGGCAATGCCATCCATCGCTCGCCCGAGAGAGTGTCGCCTGAACAAAACAATTTGGAGACAGGCGACCGATTAGGAAAGCCGCAGGGGGAGGATTGTAGTCGACTATATTTCATGGATCTTCATCATGTAGTCCCGGTTTGCTTTATTGAATTTTCGGGTGTGTTTAAGAGGACTTGTGGTTTATTTGATAATGTTTGTGGCCTGCTTTTTATGATTTATGGTTTTATAGCTTGCTTTGTATGACTTGTGGGCTGCCTTAAGAAATCTGTGGAGTGCTTTAATAAACTTGTAGTGTGGTAAGTTTGTGGTCTAGATTTTTGTGGGGTTTCTTGTGTTTGTGAGGTGGATTTTGTGATCTACACTCCTCCATTTAATTTCACAAAAAACACGTGGAACCCCCTTCCCCCAAATTTTTATAATACCAAGTGTGTCCCTCCTTCCCTTCTGCTTCCTTAAATGTGGTCAACTCATTTAAATCAAAAACTCATCCAAACAAAAAAAATTCTGTTGATGTCGGGGATGTAGCCGACGTCAACCTCTTCGATCTTGGGACCCAAAGTGATTTGAAGTGCCCCTTTATCATAACCTTCCTTCATGGCGTTGCCTCATATCTCCTCCTACAAAAAAGGGCCTATCAGGCGAATCTCGACCAGGGCACCCTCTGACGCTCAAGTTAGTCCCTAGTGCGTGGGATTGAATAGTTTACAAGGTGTTTGCAAGAGGTGAGCCCGGGAGATGAGTGTCACTGATGCAGCGGACGCCCTCAGGGTACTTCCCCAGTCTCTTGCCTTACCTTCCACTGGAGAACATGAGCTGGTTATATAGTACCTGTGGGACAACAGGAGGACAGGTGTCGGCGCCGGAGATGAAAATAGGACACGTCATTGGACATGTGTCGTTTATGCCCGTCTGCACATGCCACGTGGTTGGTCAACCATGTCTTTGCCTAATGAGAACAACCTTGCCACATGGAGACTAATTGAGAAGAGGGCATGACACACGTGTAGGTGGGAGTGCAATCAATAGATCCAGGTGGGATGAGTTTTTGTGGATCCGGGTGCCGGGAGCAGGGGGCGATAGTGTCCCAAGCGTCGGGAGCCATGCGCAATAGTGTGTCGGCTGGTACCGGGAGCCACATGCGATATCGGCCCCAGGAGTTAAGAGATGGGGGCGATACTGGGCCCGGTAGTTGGGAGGAAGGCGAAGCCCGGGTGATAGAGGCGGTGAGCGATAGAGGGCGCGGGCACTGGGAATCGAACAAGAGGTGAAGCCCCGGCACCGGGAGCCATAGCGGGCCTGGGCGTGTGGCGAAGCCTTGGTGTCAGGAGCCGGGAGCGATAGCAAGCCTGGGTGATAGAAACTGGACAAGAGGCGAAGCCCCGTCGTTGGGAGCCACGAGCAATAGCGGGCTCGGGCGTCGGGAACCGGACAAGAGGAGAAGACCCGACACCGTGAGAGGAGGAAATGGCAATCTCGGGCACTGGAGGCCGGAAGCGATAGCAGGCGTCGGGAACTGAATGAGAGACGAAGCCCCCGCGTTTGGGAGACGAGGGCAATAGCGGCCAGGAGCGATAGCGGGCCCGGACACCGGGCACCTGACGAGAGGCAAAGCACCGATTTTAGGAGTAGGGGGAAATAGCGGGCCCAGGCATCATGTCTGGGTTCAACAATGCACCGGGGGAACCGTGCTCCGAGTGGAGGGAGGAACCAACCACTGGAGGCAATCGCGAGCCACTATATGATTTAGTGTTGGCGGGCCATCGCACAGTTGTTTACATACATGAGTCGGACGGGTCTGGTCCAATATTTCAATTGGGAGAGTCGTGGGTCGGGCTCGATCGTCGGTCCAGGTGCAATAGTGCATTGTTTGAGCAAATGGTGGGCTGATGAAGTAAAAAATATTTTTACTTTAGGTATATCAATTGTCCCCCTTGCTAGCGGGAATCTGAAGATTCTTAGGGGCAAGCATGATCTACCCCGCGATCAATACCCACATTTAATCTTGGGATCTTATTAGAAGACTACATATCTTTTTTTATTTTAATGTTGGTGAAAATTGTTTGGGAAGTGCATAAGTTTTGGGTTTGGGGAGAGAATTTTACCTTCTTATAACTTTGGCCTTAACTCTTATTGATTCCCATGAGCTTAATAGAAGCCTGTGCATTTTTGTTGAATTTTGGTCAAAGACCTTTTGAAAAAATGCACAAACCTTAGACTTATAGAAGAGAAAAGGGATTTTTCCAGAAATAGCACCTTTAAAAAAAATTACAAAAATAGCATCCATTCCGTAGAAATTACAAAAATAGCACCCTTTTTTAAAAACTGAACCTCACTGGTGCGCTTTGCATGTAAACCGCACCCCCTGGTGCGTTTTGTCATTAAATCGCACCTTGGGGGTGCGTTTTAGATTTCTGGGCCAAAACCGCATCTTGGCCCATTTCATGTTTCCCATGGGTCAACTCTTTGATCCGCTCGATCCCATCAGCCTAAATCACATAAAAAGTTTAGCAAGATAAGACTAATGATGTGACAGAATGAAACAAGCAATAAATTTAATCTTATTAGACGGAATATACTTACCAATGCACCATCGGCCGCACCCTCCGGAGTCACGTACCGAACCGATGTTTGACAATATCTATCCATGTATGGGTCATGATACCCCATTCGACCCACACTTGTTGGAGTGACAATATCCTAAAGTTGTCGGTTCTCCCATACTGCGATCATTTCCGCCAACTTCGTGGACCAATTGTGAGTACCTTACCGACCATCTCGGTGGTGAAACGCCCTTTGACTCTCGAGGACTTCCAACAGAATGCACTGCTCCCGACCAAACTGACGAAGGCATCGATCCGGCAGCTGCCACTCCACGGTCCCTAAACAAATGAGAGGGACCCTCGTGCACCATTGCCCGATATTCTCGGGGAATTGCTGTAAATACCAATGAACGATGTTTGCCGGGTATGGATCGAATTTGACCTACAACAAAAAATTAGTAACTTAAGTTAAATCCGATTGGAAAAATACATGTACTCCATGAAAAAAAGTTATAGCACTTAGAAGTATTCTAGTTACCTCTCCTTCCCAAAGTCGCTCTAGCCTTCTCCGATACTCTACCAACTTGTGTTGGGCAAGGTTGTCGCATGTTGAGGCTCCAACCCACCTTATTAATAAGACGATATTAAAAATACACTCAATTAAAATAAGCTAAAACATAAGGAAAATTGTGTTATTACTTATTAAAATCATGATGGGGTATGAGAAATTTACCTACAACCATAAGCTTCGAGTCTTAGGGGATGATCGGGACCCCAATTCCTGTCGGGGCATTGGAGCGGTGCAATCCATGGCAGATGCTCCCAAGTCCAAAACTGAACGATGAACATTGCGTCGCTGACCTCCCTCACAGCTTTGAGAGATGCATTGCACAAATGGTGGTAGATATTAGCTAGGCAAGCGGATGCCCAGCTCAACTCCCCCATCGCATCCCAACTACCAAGGAGGATCCTAAGCCATCCACAGCTAATTAAATTGCTCAATTTTTTTTGGAGAAGAACACTCCTCCTATCATGCCTATGAGATAGACACGAGCATATCTTTCCTTCTCCAGCTCCGGACTTTCCGCGGTTAGGGGCACCCCATCTTTTTCAGGATCGTGATGGTCCCTAAAATACTTCGTCAACCAAGTGATTGATACTTGGCCTTTCCTCAATGGTGGCAAGCGATCCGTCGTATCAACGCTCCCCTTGGTTGGTACTTTCACCCCCCAAAACACTGTGCATGAAATACTGCCAACCGGTCATACCGTCACGATCCTCGGGGGGATGATCACTCACACACAGCGCTTTGCCGTCGATGGGAAGATGAGTTAGGATGGCGACGTTCTTGAGTGTGATGGTGCACTCTCCTTCGCGAAAGTTGAAATAATGTGTCTCCTTTCTCCATCTCTCCACCAATGTGGTGATGAGTTGGCGATCGACTTTTATGCCTACAAAATGCCTATTCGACTCCAACCGTGCCCTTTTGAGATAGGGCAAGATAACTGGGTTCCATGGGATCACATTGGTCGTACCCCTGTAGCTGAGTATTTGTTGTGCCTCCTAGCAAAAATTTCAACGTTATTTATGATATATTAGTAACAGTTTAGTCTTATAACTAAATAAATTAAAATTAATGATTTAATTTTGACCATTATTAAAATTATTTATGATATATTAGTAATAGTTTAGTCTTATAACTATATTAATTAAAATTAATGATTTAATTTCGACCATAATTCTATTATAATTATATTATTAATAATCCAATTTAAGTAATTTGCAGTTTTTTCCAAGATATATACATATTATCATAAAACAAACATACTAAATTAATTGACATAAATAACATTCTAAATGAATAATAATTTAAAGAGATACATACATATTCAGATATTTGAAATTAATAAAATTCATTTAAGTACACATAAACATAAATTGTATTGGTTGTTTGGTAAGTAATTTAATCGTATTGATTGTTTTAAATAATTTAATCGGATACAATGCAACACTCGTTAGACTCTTAGAAGAGGTATACATCTTCTTACAAACGCAGCCTTTTTGACAGAAAAAGGGGGGATCCGAGGATCTCTTAATACCCGATTAAATTATTTCAAATTTATTTTATATTCCACTAAGTACATTAGCAAAATAAAAGAAAGATAAATGATGAAGAATTGTATGTACCGGGTGATCGTCCAAACATCCCTTGGACGATGGTTGGGTTGGTCATACAAGTCGGTCGGACCAATAGGCCCTTGATCCAAATAGAACCGTTGGTTGTATATATTCACGTCGTCCCCAACCTACGAGAGAATAACAACAAGGTTAGTATATAGATTAATTAAAAAGCTTATAACAAAAACAAAAATTGACCAAAATAATGAGTATGTACCGCTTGAAATTCATCATAATAAACTCCCTCTCCTTGGAACCACTCGTCCATTTTTTTGGCGAAAGTCGGACATAAATTCGGCGGGTTTTGAGGGAAAACCCAAAGAAATGTTTTCTTATGGCAGATCGGACTTAGCCGCAACCAACAGACCAATATTTCCGAGCCTTTTGGGAGGGGAGGGGTTAGAGAGATAATTCTAGAGAGAGAGAGAGAGAGAGAGAGTGGAGAATGGTTGTGGTGTGAAGAAATGAGAGGGGGGAGGGGGTATTTATACCCTTCAGACCGCACCCTCCAGGGGCGGTCTGGTAATTTCTCCCCCGGTCAAACCGCTCCCTTTCGATGCGGTCTGCAGTTCCCGAGGGCTGGCCGCTCCTTGGAGCTGCGGTCTGCAATTCACGGCGCGGATCGCTGAGGTGGCGTAGGTTCTGCCGCTGGATCACCACCTGATCCTGCGGTCTCCAAGGCCGCTCCCGAGGAAACACAGACCACACCTTGGAGGTGCGGTTCCCAGTCTGACGTGGCGCAAAACGCACCTCCAAGGTGTGGTTTATACATAAAACGCACCTGGAGGGTGGGGTTTAGTTATAAAACGCACCTTGGAGGTGCGGTTTGATAAAAATGGTGCTATTTTTGTAAATGTTGTGGGCTGGATGCTATTTTTATAATTTTCTTAATAGGTGCTATTATTGGAAAAATCCCGAAGAGAAAATGCTCTCTTCCATGTTTTTCCTCACCTTCAATCTTCTATAAATAACTTCGTCCTCTCTTCTTCATTCATCACTTCATCCTTCTCCAAGTTCTCCCTTTCCTTCATTGAGAGAAAATTTGTTAGTTAGCGGAGGGTGGCAAGACAAAGATTAGCTTGAAGGCTCCATTGGAGACTTGATCGTGTCAGGTACGACATCTTGTCCCCACCCCCAGCTTTACTTACTATGCTTGCATGTGGGTGGGGGGGGGGGGGGTTAGGAGTACTTAGTTTTATTTTATGTTCCTCTTGCGTTTCAGTTATGCCATGTCGGCGGGTGATTGCGAGTGGGGTTCCTCAAGAGGAGTTGTCCCTTGGGAGGAGGATGAGGTGACTTTGAGGGAGGAGATGACGGTTCCGATACAAGTCGTCCCTGCGTCTGAAGGAGGGTGGTTTTCCCCCGCAACGTTTGCGCAGGGTGACAGCTGGATACCTTGGTCGGCCGAGCCAGTTAGAACGGGAGCTAGGGCGAGATATCATGTGCGCTCCTTGTTCGAGACTTCCTCGGAGGATGATGTGGAGGGAGACTTATATCGGGAGGTTGGGCGAGCTGAGGACTTAAAAAAGAGGATGATGGACCTACATGATATTCTGGCCTCGTATGGTATGCCAGAGGAGTGGGAGTATGCTCTTCCGGGGAGTGATGCTAGCGGTAACTCTTGTATGTCAGGGTGGTATTGCATTTTCTATGAGTCACTCTCCTATAGGTTTCATGCCCCCTACCCAAGTGGTTAGGCAACGTGATGGTGGATGATGGGCTGACCCTCTATTCGGTGGCACCCACATTCTGGGCGTTTGTGGCAGCATTTCGTTTTTGTTGCAAAGCTAAGGGTATAAACCCTACCGAAAGATTTGTTCTATGCATCTTTCACAGTTTGACATGTTCCCTCGGGTATAGGGATGGCAATGGGGCGGGTTTGGCTAAACCATCCCCATCCCCATCTTCAAATATCCAAACCCATACCCGACCCATACCCATGTGGGCGAATGTTTAGCAAACCCATCCCCATACCCGTGGGTTTCGGGTACCCATGGGTAATACCCATACCCGTACATCCAACATTATTATCCTAAAATTTACATGAAAAGTTTTAACTACAACTCTAAACGTACCTATTATATCACGAATTCAACAAAACGGGATCATTTTCTTAATACGGTTCAAAGAATATGATCCTAAAACATTCATTAATACATAATATAGAGTATAATATTTTTCAAATTATTATGTTCTAACTCTAATACATCTACTAAGTAATAATTAACTAACATAATCTTGTCGACAAGGGGGAAAGTGAAAGAGTGAAAGGAGAATTGAGAGAAATGAATTAGGTTTTTATTAAGGTGGTCACTCAATTGCATTTCTACTATTTATTTCCTCGAGGTATCCTCATCACCATTGATAGATTACAATTTTATCCATATATTTTTGTATAGGTGAAGAAATTCTCTTGGTGGGGCGGATATGGGTATGGGTATGGGGCGGGGGAGGCTAAAACCATACCCGCCCCATACCCATCAAACTTTTTGCGGGTTTTACCCATACCCGCCCCATACCCAGTCAAAGCGGGGATTACCCGCGTTGACTGGGTCGGATACCCGCGGCCATGGGTTTGATTGTCATCCCTACTCGGGTAGTACCTCTTGGGGTTTGGAGCATCGCTTCTACGGGCCCAAATATGATCGTGTTCCCCTTTCGGGTCCGTGATGAAGATAAAACATAAGGGCTGGTATGATAAGTTTTTTCCCCCTCTGCCAGGGGACTCACGGTAGATGGCGATCCACTTATGAATCAAATTGGGCTTGTGAATACAAAGAAACTTCTTAAGGCACCTAGCCTTCCCTTGGACTTTAGTCAGTTTTTAAGTGGGCCCCCGACCTAACTTCATACCAAAGAACATATTAGATTGTTGATAATCCAAGCTTACTCAGAGGGTTATAGGATTCCTCGCATAATAGGTTTTATCATTCTAGAATTCTAGCTCGCCTTGAAGACTAAGCCATTTTCTTTTCAGGTGTTAAGGATGTTGCGTGGTTGCTTCGCAGCATAGAATCCGTTCACGGTGATGCAGCTCTGGGGATAGGTCAACACGCATCTCGATAATGAGGAGTGGAGATTTGCGAGCTCCCAATTTAGAATTTTGAAGGACTTGATAGCGGGCCCGAGAGCCGGGAACCGGGCGAGAGGCGAA